GTGTGTTTTTGTTTGTTTGCCACACTGTACATCATGTTTCTTGTCAGAAAATTTGTCATAAAATTTCTTGGTGATTATTATTGAAACTTCCACTTATTTGAAGCTAACTGTATGTCAAAAAAGGAGTGTTTTAAAAAAGATGAACATGTATGGACACTGTTATGGGGTCGATGTTTTTGTTGCTGGGATTGAACAGCATTTGTACTGTGTATTTATTTCTGTTTTGATGAATTGTACTGATTTTCTAGATCAAATACAGTCCCAGGAGAGTTCCTGGCTTTGGTCTCACAGATGGTGAAGTCGTGGAGAGACTTTGGTCTTTTTTTACGGAGATTTGGAAAAATGACCAAAGAAATGAGGCCAAACCACCGGGTGGATGTTCTATCTGATGCTCTTTTGTTTTATATCAAAAAAAGATCAGCAAGTTTAGGTTAGCTGAATAAACTTTTCATTCGTGCAATGTCAGTAGCAGCTTAAGAAATTGTTGTCTAGGAAGGATTTCTCTGCATGGTTCCGATTAACTTCTTTTTTGCGAAAATACGTGCCCCTTTGTTGTATGCTTTAAAAGCAAATTTTCCCCCCTCTAGTCTTCTTCTTTCCCTCTTGAAACCCTTGGATGGCATGAAAATGCTGAAATTCTCATTTAAAGAATAGTTGTTTAAGAATGATCAGCTTTAACTAATATTTTATTTTTAAGGGAATTTTATTTTCATTCCATTTGTTTCCCTCAGGGAAACTTTTGTGTGTTCACATGAAGAAAGCACATTTGGTAGTTAAAGATGCAGAGGAAGAATTGTCAAAATTGCGGGATAGCCTAACAGGTCAGATTGATTTGCTTCCTCCTAATAATGTTGACGTCTGAATGCATCTGTGGCTGTTGCAGTTGGAGTCATGTACCTAACAGATTCATTTCAGTCTTTTGAGAATTATGTCACTTTTCCTTCCAGAAACAAGCGATTTTTTTGATCTGTATTCCATTTCCTTTCCTTTTGCAATATCCATGCAAACTAGACATGTTTATATTATAACTATGTTCACAAGAAAATATCAACACAGTTTTACAAGCTGTCCAAAAGGTTTGAATTGTTTTACACTGGTACTAATATTATAAAATATTCATTTTGCAGAACCGGTTCGAAGGGAAGATGTTGCTGACTGGGCAAAGCAGGAAGCAGAATGGACAGGAGGATTGCATAACCCAGTTGAAGAACCCTCTTGGAGACATGGCTATGTAGTCTGCCTTAAAATGTTCTATGAAATCCGCTCAAAATGGGAGCAAGCATCTGACCCTGATAAACTTCAGCAACTTTATGGACAGTTGACCAGGTATGTATTTTTGGGGGGATTTAACCTATACTTTTTAATGCTTGTTTGCTTGCTTTTAGTGGTAAATGCATTTTTGGCTATATTTTGGTACGTAACATTGTTGCTGCATCATTTACACTGTAATCAAAAGTGCTTTGTTAGGGTTAGGCCTCTTTAGAGTGTTTGATAGAGAAAAAGATACATATTATGCCACATACATAAGGTGACTTTTTACCCTCAGGCACAGATTCTTTTTTTTTCAAATCTCCTCTATTCCATTGTCAAAATCATTTTATACCGTGCAGCACAATTTTCAGCATCATTGGATGAAAATAAATGTGTGTATAAAATATTTTGTTGGATTTTATTAGATTAGAAGGAGTTTTGTCATATTTGGAGCACAGAAATGGCATTACTCAGCGTTGGACTACTGCTTGTGAAGAATATCGGATGGCTCGAGATGCTGCCTATGACCGAAGCAAAAGGGTTGCTTTAGTGAAACTGCATACAAAGGTTGTAGAACGGTGGTTCTTGTTGTGCTTGAAGGCGAAATATGCTGGCAAGTATTTGACCCAAATTTATGTATTTAAAAAGCCGGAGCGATTTGAGAGTCATGAAAACTGGTATCCGGTGTGATTGTTTGTGTGCAAGGAGATACGTGAAGTAAGAGCGGACCTGCCTCTTTTGCTAATCTCGAGAAGTTCCTGTGAAACGTATGTTAAACTCACAAACTTTAATTATCAACATGTATTTTCAGGGCCGTAATGAAAACCGCCGTTGGCGAGGGGGTTCCCTGGTTAAAAATTGCTGTTACTATTATTGTTATGATTGTTATCATTATTATCATTATTATTATTACTATTATTATTATTATTATTATTATTATTGTTATTGTTATTGTTATTGTTGTT